CCCCGCTCTCCCGAGTCCTCGCCGTCCTCCTCGTCGGCCTCGGCCTCCGCGTCCACGGCGCCGACGCTCTTTCAGGTGGAGTTTGATTGATCACCTCAGGTTCGTGCTTCTTGCTTGTGCCTAATGAGCAATGGGCCTGATCGGCATTCGCTCGTCCGTTCACCGCAGGGTACCAGATAAACTGCGGGGCGGGCGGCGAGCGCGTGGCCGGCAACGTGACATGGGTCCCGGACGGGCCGTTCGTGCGCGCCGGCAACGCCGCCGCCGTCCCGTCCCCGCCGGGGATGCCGCCGATGCTCGCCTCGCTCCGCTACTTCCCGGACGCGTCGGCCAGGAAGCACTGCTACGTGCTCCCCGCGGCGAGGAAGGCCAAGTACCTGGTCCGCACCACGTACTACTACGGCGGGTTCGACGGCGGTGAGGCGCCGCCCGTGTTCGACCAGATCATCGAGGGCACGCGGTGGAGCGAGGTGGACACGGCGGCCGACTACGCCCGCGGCCGCGCCACCTACTTCGAGGCCGTCGTGCGCGCCACCGGCCGGCAGGTCAGCGTGTGCCTGGCCAGGAACGCGGGCACCGCGCCCACGTCCAGCCCCTTCATCTCCGCGCTCGAGGTGGTGCCGCTGGACGACTCCGTGTACAACTCCACCGACTTCTCCTCCTACGCCCTCAGCACCATCGCGCGCCACAGCTTCGGCCACGACGCCTCCGTCCTCAGGTAACGGTCACACCGACACAGGGGGGCACCATGGCCGCCATGTTTCTGTTCGATCATGAATTCTTGATCACGCGAAATGCGCCATTCTGCAGCCATCCAGATGCAGGAGATCAGTTCAACCGGTACTGGGAGCCGTACAGCGACGGGAGCCCGGTGGTGGAGAGCCAGGGGAGCGTGGCGCCGGCGGCGCTCTGGAACAAGCCGCCGGAGGACGTGTTCCGGCGCGGAGTGACGGCCAGCCGCGGGGACGCCCTCGAGCTCCAGTGGCCGCCGGCGCCGCTGCCCAAGGCGAGCTACTACCTGGCGCTCTACTTCCAGGACAACCGGGCGCCGAGCCCGCTCAGCTGGAGAGTCTTCGACGTCGCCGTCAACGGCCAGGCCTTCTTCGCCGGCCTGAATGTCTCGACGGCGGGGTCGATGCTGTACGGCGCCGCATGGCCGCTCTCCGGGCAGACCAAGATCACGCTGACGCCCGCCCCGGGGTCACCGGTCGGGCCGGTGATCAACGCGGCGGAGGTTATGATGGTTGTTCCGCTCGGAGGGAGGACCCATCCTAGAGATGGTAACAAGATCCGATCAATGCAGCTGCAGCTTCCATTGCGCCATGGCTGATTCAGCCGTTCCTCACGACAACTCTGTAATAAATCATCCATGCATTTTTATCATTTTGCTGCAGTGATCGGCATGGAGGGGCTCGCGAGAGGCTTCGCCAACCCGCCGTCGGACTGGAGCGGCGATCCTTGCTTGCCCGTGGGGAACTCCTGGACCGGTGTTTCCTGCAGCCAAGGCGCACTTGCTCGAGTAACTGCTCTGTAAGTTGCAAACAGGATCAGTACGTTCTTTCCGATTTCAATCTCTCATCAGTGGACGATGACCTTCGTGCATTTGCTGCTGCAGCAACCTCACCAATTTCAGTGTTGGAGGGTCGATATCTGACCACATTGCTAATCTGACTGCGATCTCGAGCGTGTAAGATTCTTGACACAAACTCATGTCAGATCTGCATGCTAAATTATAAATGAGAAGTTAGGTTTCTGATTGGAGATAGGCTTTGTTGCAGCTGGCTTGTGGGGAACAATCTGACAGGACCAATTCCAGTTATGAGCTCCCTGCATCATTTGGCATCACTGTAAGTAGAAACATACCACTTGATGATTGCTTATGCAAAATGATTTTCTGGAGGTTCATAATTACTACTACTACTACTAGTCGACAAAATGAAGACGCTGGCTGTTCCATTTCACTAGTTAACCCGGGTTGCATTTTTGACCTGAAGGCACCTGGAGGACAACCAACTGACAGGGCCGATTCCTCCGTCGCTGGGAGACCTTCCAAGACTTCAGGAACTGTAAGTGGCTTCAGCATGCAGTCCATGCTTTGCCAAGCCGTTGCTGCATTATCCAGCCATGATGCTGCTCAATTGACATACATTTCGCAATTGAGCTCTGTTGCAATTTCTGACATCTTGAATTCTTGTCCAACAGGTTTGTGCAGAATAACAATTTACAGGGCAGCATTCCAATCGGCCTCAACAGAACGAGCATTACATTCAAGTGAGTGATCACCAACATTGTTTTACAGCATTATCTTTAGTGAGCATTCTATTTTTGAACTTTATTACCATATAGTCATGCACTGCATAACGAATTCATGCTTTGACAGGTATACACCTGGGAATAACCTTAACCAACAATAATGTCGCAAGGGATAATGAGAAGCCATCGACAGACAACAGTATGATAATGAGGACATGCATATCTAACCGGCAGAAAATGTTGTATTATTTCCCTTTTGGTATTGCCAATGTTTTTGTTCTTTCTTGATTTTCTTTTTCTTTTTGGGAGACAAAGGTGTTACTATTGTATATGCAACTGCACACGATGAACTTCATCGCGCTTGATTCCATTTATTTATGTGTATATGTAAATATGTAATTTTGTTAGAGAGGCGATCACGAAGATAATATGCTTTGTTTTTTATCGATGTGGATGCTAGAGGCAACCTCGCTATTCGAAGAAAGTTTAAGGCCTCATTTTTTCACGATTACAAGGAAGACAGACCCAAGCAGACATAACAAAGTTCTCTACTCTGCTGCAGCTGGCATCGAAACGATCTGACGCCATGCGCATATCTTCTTACGGCACTCAACGCAGTTTTGTATAGCTCATTCGGTAGAAATTTCTTCCACGCCATAGTCCGAAACGGAATGGCCTCCTTTGTATGTACTTCCGACAGGGTGCTTGATTTTCTCAGCACATACATAGCAATTTTCCATGTCATTCTTATATCCTGGGATGTACTTACACTCAACTTCTTTTTTACGGCCACCTATGAAAAAAATAAGAGTGAATTCCATTTTTTACCTTGTAGTTGTACATTTGTGACACATATTACCCTATTTAGCGGAACTTTTATCGAAATGTCAGATTTTGGAGACTTTTAACACGGTTTTACCCCAGTTTTACATTTTGTCTGTTTATGGTCGATAGGATCGGCATGTTGCGTCATTGATTTGTAAAAAAAACTGTAAGGATCGGAGGGCATCATTGGCGATCTTGTCCAAGCTTCTCTTGTCTATCTGTTCCACTCCTTGTGGCCGTCCACATGTTTTTGGATACAGGGCGTCACCTCACACCTTACCTGATGGACACGCATCAAAAAACAAGGGTCCAAAGATTTCAAAAGGGGTATTCTAGACGAATTTTCACTCGAAGGGGTAATTAGTGTCACAAATGTATAAATATGGGGTAAAAAGTGGAATTCACTCAAAAAATAACCGCGTTAGGGTTCCAAGAAGTAAATACAAGCATTCATACCAAACATTCCATCATTGGTACTCTACATGACAGTTAGGTGAAAAAAGGGTCTCCTTCAGTCCAAAACTAGTTTGATATATTACACATACAGTCAGAAACATAATAATTAGTACTCCCTCCGTCCGAAAATGCTTGTCATCAAAATGAATAAAAGGGGATGTTGCGGAAATACTTGTCATCAAAATGAATAAAAGGGGATTTGACGGAGGGATTACAAGAACAATGCATATTCCAGAGTTTCTGGAAATAAAATAAAAAATAATGTGATGGCATCAAAGCCTGCGGATAAAAAGAAAAGGAGCTTACCAGCAGAGTTACCATCAACAATGTCGCATGCACTGACGCGATAATATCCATTGGAGGCATTGTCGTTATTATCCATTTCTGCCATCAACTCGGAAAAGAAGATTTGCTCTGACCCTGTGGCGACGTTCCTTGCCTTGAAGTTCATGTGCAAATAGGCGAAGTAGCCCTCGATGAAATCAAAAACATCGTTCAAGCGCACGTGTGTAAACTCGTAGCGATCCTGCGGATGAAAAGATTTAATTAAGTCGGAAGTCAAAATGAAGAATGCGAGCGAAAAGGACAGATATGAACAGAACATTTTCAGATAAAAAAAAGGAAGAACGTGTAGGAACCGATAAAGCAAAACAAGAGCTTACAGGGTGACTCTTATGATAGAAAACCAAGGACATGTTGGCTCTCTTCTTGTATAGACGCCTCCAACGGGATATCCGTTCATCTGGTGTCAAAAAGAGTAGCTGACGGCCAGTAAACTCTGCTCCGGCATCACATGCACCGCCTTCCTCTGTTTCGCTCTCTCCAGCAGGTTTGACTCCTGATGTTTCCGCGTCAGTTACAAGTTTGCTGCAGCCACCAATATGATGCAATTTCAATATCTGGATAAGGTAGCTAACGGTGGAAATTTGAATCAAAAGACTAAAAGTTTCTGAACTTATAATCAAATGGTGAAAATAAAATTATCCTTTTGCTTCCTAAAATACTACTAGTACTTTGAAGCACTTAGTGCTTTCACGCAACATCCATAGCATCTGGCGTCGTTAGGTTTCAGCCGCAAGTAGTAAGTTTTAATAAGTCTCTGAAAGACATAATAAGCGCATTCGACCCTGATAAAAGCTACCCAAGGGAACAGGGTGGAGCAAACGGCGCAACTTTGAAGCGATCTGTAGAGGCCGGAGGGGTAGCAGCTTACACGGAACGGCCCGCCGGCGGGGACGCATCGCGGGCACGCTTGGACTGCAGTCGGGCGCTCCTGCGCGGTTCTGCCGCCGCCAGCCGATTCATGGCGAACCGAACGCCGCGGAATCGACGGTTCGTCTTCTAGTGGAAGGGGAAGGAGGGACGAGGGTTTCGTTTTAGGAAGACCCCACGAAACAGAAACAAGTGTAGTTAATCATCGGGACGAGGGACGAGTCTATTTTAAGGCGGCCGCTAGCTTAGCCCAGATGGGATCGCCGTCTCCGGCGCCGCCACCGCCGCCGCCCAAGTGGATTATGCTGCGCCGCGTTCCGCAAGTGTGCCATGATCTCTACGCTGACTTCTCCGTCACGCTCGCCGAGCCCCCGCGCCCCACCGAGCTCGTCGTATCCCCGCATCTCGCCCCCGATGGCGTCTCCGCCGACTGTTTCCCTTTGGTCCACGCCGCCGATCCGTCCGGAATCCTCCTCGTCTCCGCCACCTACGACCGCTGCTCCATGGCCCCTCCCTCCGCCGACAAGCAGGCGGGGGATTACACGACCAACTACTTCGCCTGGCATGCCGCCATCGACTACACCCACCGCCTCCCGCCACATGAGGACTCTGTAAAGCACACCGGCAACGTCGGCCTCGTCGTCGACGAGTACAATTTCATGGTCGCCGAGCTCCTGCCCGCCGGCGACGGCGACCGCGCCAGTCTACTCTGCTATTGGTCATATGATCGTGAATGGGTGAAGAAAACTCTCCCCTTTCCCCTCAAATGCCCTTGGTCTAGTGCCCGTACCTTCTCGCACCAAGGGAAGCTCTGGTGGTTGGATCTTTCGCAAGGTCTTCTCTGCTGCGATCCTTTTGCTAAAGAGACGGAGCTCCTCTTCGTGCCATTCCCTGATGATATAGATACACACACTCGAGGCAGAGATGTCGGCAACCGTCGCTGCGTAAATCTGAGCAATGGTGCGCTGTGGTTAGCGGAGATGACTTACCACCGCCGTGCGCTGTTCGTTAAGATGTGGAAGCTGGGCACTCAAGGGCAATGGACTCCCGATTACACAGTTAAGTTTGCGGATATCTGGGCTGACAGGAGCTACAAGGAAACTGGAATACCGAAGAAGAAGCCGGCATTGGTAGCCATCAACCCTGATGATCCCGAGGTGCTTTACTTCTCTTTGGAGGGTAATCTCCTCCAAGTTAACATGTGTGCCAAAAGAGTTGAGCTGTGTGTGGCTTTCAGGCGCCCTACCACAGATTTGAAAATAGACCAGGGGTCCTCGCAGTTTATTCTCACTTGGAATCTTCCGACATCGATAGTTTCATCATCAGGTGATACAAATGTTGTGTTTTTGCAAACTGCTCGGCATTACTTGTTACCGTTTGAGTTATTGTGTTGCTTTGCTGAATTGATTTTGTGTGCCGCAAAGTCTAGATATCATTACTCGTCTACAATGCCATCCGTTTGTACTGCCCAGATTACATGTGAAATCGAGAATGTATTAGTAGCTTGAGCTATGTCATTCTGGAGTTTGCGCCAGATAATATTGTTTGGTTTGCTGAATTGGTTATGTTTGCTGCATAGTTTACCTATATGGATTAACACACATATACTGTGTAGCTTATGTAAGACATCATGAATGGGTTTGAAAGTTGAGTCGTGTCGCTCTGAAGTTCGACTTTACATTGTTGTGTTGAATTAATTATGTTTGCTGCATACCATGGTTCTCATTTCTCCTCTAAAATCTTGTCCATGCGTACTGTTTAGATTACACAATAAACCGAGAAAGGTTTTGACACTTTTGAGTTGTGTGGTTCTGGAGTTTCTGTCGTATATCATTCTGTAGCTTTGCTGAATCGATAGTGTTTGCTGCATAGAGTATATATATATATTGCTTTAATCATCTAGATTCTAGTTGATGTATGTGTTTACCACTTGGATTACACAAGACATTTAAAGCTGATTTGTTTTTACATGACAAATTGAGAAAGGAGCTGTGTTCATATCTTTTCATTTTCAGTAGGACGAAAGCAAGAAGAGCGGTCATCGAGGGATTCAGCTTTTGATATGATTGCAGATTCGTTCACCAATGCATGCGCTAGTGTGCTTGATGATATGGAATTTAATCAGCTGGCTATGACTGCAATTGAATACCTTAACCAGAGCCGAAAGGAAGAGGTAATTGTGCCCTAACTTATTTGATGCTAAAGATGACACATTGGATTTGTTATTGACATTTGCTATTTTATAGAAGGTCAAGTTCAGATTGTCTGAGCGTCTCTGCCAATGTTATTTTGACGAGGAGGAGGCTAGTACTTCCCACAGAAAGCAATATATCCATATGAACTTCTATGTTCACACGGAGTCTGAAAGGCTTCCGCAGCTTGTGTTTGCGGAGTTTGTCGAAGCTAATAGGAACGATGATTGTTCCTGGGATTTGTTGTCATGCAAAACTATAACCAAGAACAGTCCTGGTACATTTTATTTCCTCTCAATAGTTGTTCTAATTTTGGATTAATCCTTGTTCACCTATTGATAGAAGGGAGTTATTTTGAGATACACATAGTCAATAATTGTGAAATCTGAACTTCTCCTAAGATCTTTCTTGGTATTAGGATTGCACACGTGATACTGGTAGATGTAGATATATCTAAAAAAGTACTTCCTCTATAAACTTTTATAAGACATTTTAGATCACTACTTATAAAAGTTTACAGAGGGAGCACTTTCCTAATATTAAAGATTTATCGAGTTTATTAATATATTGCAACAACAACAGTGCAGTACTTTGTTGAACCAGGCTAGTTAAGATGAACATATGGTTCATTACTTGGTTGAACTTGGTTACATCAGAATATTAGATGAACTAGATGCTGAGCTATGCATCCTTTGTTCACTATTATGTGCCTTATAACTAGAAATCAACCTAGTACTTTATTCCAATTTAATGTTACTACTGAGCCCTACAAGCTGTAGCCCTCAAGCTTCTAATGGTGTACTAATAGACAAGACTAAGAGTTAATGACAGTAGTTCTTTCTAGGAGTAAATGGCAAGCAGTTTTATGTATTTTGATGTGTTAGGTGTTGAGGCCTTGTGCCTATCGTGACCAAATTGTGCGGCGATTAGTGTTCCATTTTTTAGCGGCAGTAATTATGTACCACAATCTTGCAGAAATTTTCACTTTGCCAGAAAATTGTTCAAATACTGAGACATGCTATTAAAGAGCAACGCACTAAGAGCATGCGTATTCTCAAGTATTGATGCGACTTACTCCAGTGCTACAAAAGTCTTGTTGTTTTGGACATTGAAATGTTCACCAATATGGATCTTCGACCATTACCTTCTCTATTCATTTATTACTAAAGTTACAGAAAATATGATGACATGAAAGTACTTTGACAAACCTATTACTTGGTTTCACAATATTTATCCCAAATGCATATCTAGGAGGTACCGAACTAAAAAATGATTTGATATAATCCAACCATACTTGCTCTCACTGATAAATTAGTCGTTCTCTATTTAAATAGAATCAAGTATGGTAAGATTCCATCAAATATTAATTGACTCCATCTTGTAGTTACGAGCAGGGGTTTGCTGCTGTGAAACGGGGGGAGTAGTACCATCTTCATATAAAGCATATAAATAGATTTACATATATTAGTGGTTGACGGTGTCACGACCCAGGGTGCCTCAAGATCCTAGAAGTTAGTTCACCAGACTGCTCAGGAGCCCTAGGCCGCTATACGGCTTGGCCATCAGCCTGACTTGGGAGGCCTGGAGAAGGAAGGAACCGACTTCCTTGCTGTGCAAGACAAGGAGGCCAAACATCCTTCAACCACCTTAGAACCGACTAGACTCTTTAACCCTAGGCCCCTGGCATCCTTTATAATCTCATGCTTGGGCTAATCGATACCATCATTATACCTATGATCCCTGATATTTGTATTGTCCTCTGTACCCTCATCCAATCAATACAATAAGAGCAGGAGTAGGGTTTTACCTCCATAGCGTGAGGGCCTGAACCTGGGTAAATTATCCCCTATTCCTTCTCTGGGCTTTCCAGCTAGTTGCAGGACCCTATCGAGGGGCCTCCCGGAATTCACACCAACAATGGCGCGCCAGACACGGGTCGTGCTTGCTGGAACTGAGATCTAGATGGATCTGACATCAATCGTGCCGCCTTCTCTATTGGGCAGATGTTTGCTTTCGGGCGATGAACTGCATCACCAACTCGGCGGAGCAGATTGAGCCATTGACACCTACAAGCCAGGCCAGATTCTCCTCTTCGGGGGCCTGGAATTCATCGCCGACTCGCGCGGCAAGCTTCGCCTCTGTGGCCAGTCGCCTTGTTGAGCACATGAGTCAGGAATTGAAGTTCCTCAGGGAGATTCTTCGTCTTTCTGCGCAGCCCAGAGTGATCTGTCCTAGAAGAACCTGGTCAATCTTTGGGTACAATCAGTTTCCCTGGTGTACTCATACATCAGTTAAGCCCGGGCCTTGATGGCTAGATCCGCGTGTCCAAGTAGGCCATCATCACATCTGCCATCATCAGACCAGTAAAATCTATGGGGACGTTTGGCCAGTAAAACCCGCCCTCTTGCCATTTCCTATTGGAAGTGGGCAGGGGGCACTTGATGTACCCGGATCTGTATCGCTTCGTGATGGCGGCTCTGCCGCACTCATAGCTCTCGCCATCGTTGGTCTGGAGCTTGACCTGGAAATACCAGCGCTAAAGCCCGAATGCGGCTGGATTGCTGGGAAACACTCACACACCATTATGAAACATACAATGTCTAGAATCCCATTTGGCGTTAGGCGATGAAGTTGGAGCTAGTAGAAGTAGCGGAGGCCACAAAAAATATTGTGGCAGCGACAAACCTCGCACGAGGAAGGACACATACAAGATCCACTCTGCTTCACGCGCCGTCAGAGAGACCTTCGCCATGCCATTAATCGCTTCATCGGCGACCTCCAGACAACGTGGTCCCGCAGCAGCAAATAGACCTACACCCCTGCCCGACGAGGCTGTTGAGCTGAGGTGGGGATGTTGTTGATGCCATCCACTCCCCCTTCGTATCCAAGGGGGTGGTGATTTTTCCCTTGTCGCCGCCGCTGCCCTTGCTCGAAGTGTTGCCCTTCATTTTGTTGTCACCCCGACCCTTGGTCGATTGGGGGCCATTGGTAGGTGGCGGCGTGGAGTGGTGGAGAAAGGTAGGAGCTTGAGCTCAGAGGCATGGAAATGGAAGCTTGGGCTAAAGGAATGACGGGGGTGAAGAAATGGGAGAGGTGTGGCATGGCTGGGTGCGGATCTCCCTATAAAGCCCCGATGGGAGGCTAAATGTCGTTGTTAATGTCGTGACACGCGGCCACAATCTTCTGCCATATCCCTACTAGGCACGGGAATTGAGGCGCTCCTTAAATGGCACCTGAGCCCGAGGAGTCACCTTCTGGTCGCATCCCTCTGGCCGATTGGGTGTGGCCTTTGTGGTCCCCACGACCCATCACGTCCTTCGCTTTGACCGACAGTCGGAGGAGGTGGTCCGACTTGACTAGGTGAGCAAGCTAGGTGCGACTCTTGACCCGTGCCTTCGTCACGGAAATTCAAAGTGCATCCCGGCAAATTGGCTCGCGGAGGTTGGATATTTATTGAAACAAAATGAGGCCGGTGCACTGCGTCACACATTACCTCAAGGCAGGTTGACGCAACCTGTCTTTTGTGGAACTTCATGAGCCTGCCAAGACCTCGGGGAGCTACCGGAAGACAGCGAATTCAGATTGGCCGAAGACCGGAAGATGCCAAATCCTTGAGCCTGTTCGGGGGCTACTGACGGTGTCACTGCCAGGGGTGCCTCAAGAGTCAAGACCCGGGAAGTCTGCCCACCAGGCCGGCTCAGGAGCCCTAGGCCACTATACGGCTTGGGCCGTCAGCCTGTCTTGCCCTCGAGAAGGAAGTAACCGGCATCCTTGCCATGCAAGACAAGGAGGCTGAACCACCAGCCTTAGAACAGACTAGGAGTCTGCAACCCTAGGCCCCTGGCATCCTTTCTAAGCCGTGGATGACACGCTTTTAGTCATCACCCTTCGGTATACCTACAGTCCCTGAGGTTTGTCTTGTACTTTGTACCCCCATCAAATCAATCAATACAATAATGGCAGGAGTAGTTTTTTACCTCCATAGCGAGGGCCTGAACCTGGGTAAATGGTCTCCTGTTTCCCTTCTGTGTGGCAATTGTTTGTTGTTGGTACTTTGACTAGATACAATATGTTAGGTTATCTCTGTGCATATTTTTATTATCATTGAGCTCAGGTATTGGTATAATTCTGGTGGTTATGTAGAAATATCATTTTATTTGTAAATATCCTTTTCCTCTTGTTGATAAAACACTGTCAATAGGCCTCTCATATGTTCTTCAATAGAGCTTTTTCTCTGTTCTTCAACTGTATGGATGGTTGGATGTGCCAAATGCCCGAAAGTGGCATCTCTTGAAACAACATATTATGATGTCGTGTTCATCCCAGGATACCTAACGCACAAGCTAGATACTTGTTCATGCTAGATGATCTCATTTGAAGGATTGTATTTGTGTCATATTATACAAAGAGCTTATGGATCTTGGAGATTGCTAATACAAGATTGATTTCTTGAGGGTGGACGTTTTAAGTTACTGAAATCACTTGTTTTTTTGTAGGCGTCCTATATAACACAAATGTTGATGTGGGACAGAAGAGGAAGAGATCACTTCGTTGTTATGCATGCGAGGGTAAAATGAAGCATCCAAGCAGCGGATTTTCAGCTGTGTCTCGTACTGATGCTAGCTACGACTGAGCGTTAAGTGCAGATGATGACAACACTCCTCATGCTCTTCTTTAGGTTAAGGGTGTCTTGTTTGCGGGATTCTTATGCTTTGCTAGACATTTGGATTCGAGCTAATTAACCTATGTTTACGTGCCAAATTATGAAACTAGTGTATTATATATATGCAATCACGAGTAATTGACAAAAAACTACCACATTTCACATAACCGTCCCACAGAACTACCACATTTTGAAAACTGGCCAAAAACTCCAGTTTAGTGCTGATTTCGTGACAAAAAACTACCAGATGGAGTTGATGACAGGTTGAAGTATTTTAAACGACTTTCTGACAGATCCGGCCCACCGGTCAGGACGGAGGCCATGCTAACGGCT